GCAATCCAAGGAGAAAATTTGGGAGAGAAAATCTACAAACCTGGAGACAATGATCAAGAATTTTTTGCAACGAAATCAAGCGTGGCTAAGCGCCATTCCTCCCACTCCAGCGCTAGAATCCTAGAGAGGGCATTCCCAGCCCAAGAAAATCGCCATAGATCGCTGGAAAAACCTTTTGATTGATTGTAGGAATTTTTGATTGATCACAAGACAAGAAAACATCAAAGCGCAAAACGCTCACGTGAACCACGTGAGCTATTGTTTTAGAACATGGTGTGGTCACATGGTATTTGACCGTGTTTCAACCGTGTTTGGAGCCGTGTTTTGGAGCATTGACCGAGTCAATGAACACGGCCCGTGTTAACACGGCTGGAGGCTGTGTTCGTGTCACCACGCCAACACGCCATGGTGCACGGTGTGTTTTGAAGCACTGTTTCTAGGTACTACGCTACCTAGAATTGTCTTTGGGAACCTTGAAGGAACTCTATCCCTTAGTTTGTTAAAGCCTCTCCTTTCGTAAGTTTTTTAATTGCTATATGGTCTAGCATGGACAATTCCATGCTTTAGACTCTTCATAGCACCATAGTTACTAGTAACAACATGTTCGAGCACCCACTTGATTCCTCACTCTCAACTGACATAACTACCATTGGTTATGCTCTTCGATTTCTATGATTTGGTTCTATCCTCTTACTACTTGCTTTTGGCCTCACACATTTCCTTCGGTTATTTGCCTCCAAACTAGGAGGATGGCTTTGCACTTTCTACCATGCCTTAGCAAGTATTCTTGGGGATGAACCTACCTAATAGCTTAGGGAGTGGTTCCTCAATCTGGGTATGCTCACTTTATAATCCTACACACCAAAATTAATGTTGCTACATATAGGCCTTTATATGCCCATCACTAGCCTTGCCAAAATTCCATTTTTTGCTTTGTATAATTTGGGTAAACGGATTTTTCCCGTCTTCGCAACCTTGGAGGTTTGGATAGCACATTCTATCTATCATTCGCTAAGGACTTAGTCCCTTGGGCCTTATCTATTGCTCTCGCAACATCAAACAACACTTTCTAGTGTTTTAGAGTGTTTGGGTGTCCTAATGATGGCATCTTTGCCAATGAGCATTCCCTTTTATGACATTGACTTACTATATTGGCATATAAACAATTTATTTCCCCATAAAGGTATATCTAACTTCCTTATGCCATTAAAAAGTCTTAGATAGCTACCTGTTACCAGTTTAACCGATTATTTTGCACCTTATGCTTAGTTGCTTCATAATTGTCAAGTCCTACAACTCATTGCTGGTGCTTCCACACCTCCATCATTATCTGGGTCACCACACTCCAATTGCATGCTTTTCAATTTAGGCTATGCCATTCCTATTTCCATTAAGATTCCTTTGGAAAGGAGTTCTCGTGAACCCGCCAACTCATCTTAAGGCATCATGCCTTGGCACATTCGATGTCTCTTCACCATCGACTTCACGAGCCTACCTTTATGACACTTTTTACTTGTGTCTAAGTCCTTGCCAAGACCAATACAGTTCTTTCTCATACCAACTATCCGTTAGCACTGCACCATAGAGTTTACTCACAACTTTGTGTCAAAGTTGTTTTCTTTTGGGAACACCTTCCCCACAACTTTAGTATGGCACATTCCGCCATCAATGAAATACTCATTGCTCTCATACTTGGATCCTATGATCCTCCCCAACCTTTGTGGGGCACAACACACCTCAGTCCAAATGCTTTTAGCAATCCTTTATGACCATTCCTTAACTTTACTTGAGTCATTTAGCATTTTTGGACTTTAAAATCTAATGACCCATAATGTCTTACTTGAGGTGCCAGCTCGCTAGAATAAACCATAAAGGAATCACAAAATTATCCTCATATAATTAAGGTTGGTGCTCATGAATTTGATACCAGAATTAATGACCGTGGAAGGTCAAATATGGGAAAGGACACAAGTCCTTGAAATGGTAGCCGAGGCTACCCTTGATAAATGCTACAACAACCCAAGGAGTTGGGGGTGTAATTAAGGATGAGTTAGTATTTTCATCACATGGACAAGTAGTTCAAGGGCAAAGGTTGCCCCAGGGAACAACATCAAGTGGTAGAGTGACACTTACAAAGATGGTCCTTATAAGTAGGATATGAATACAAGAAGTTGTCTTTATTTTTCCTATGATCCCAACTATAGTTGTTTACCACAACTACATTAGCTGAGTCAAACGTTCATCTGGATCACATCCTCAACTCTTTGAGGAAAACTTTATACTGTTCCCAAGATCTCGAAGTCGTTCCATTATTGGCCCTTTTCTATCCACCACCTCACCTACTAGTTCACACATAAACTATAGTGGAGAGCCATGTCTTCCCGACTTGCTACTCCTCATAGATAGGCCCACTTCTAGGACCTTTCGATGCCAACACTAATGGTGATATACTTGAGCACCAATAAAAGTTAGACTAAGGAATAGCTCCAATACTAGATTATAAGTGACTAAAATTTCCATTCTACTTTAGTCACTTAACCACACCTCCGACCACTTGGAGGAGTCTCATTCACAACCTCCATAAGTCCTATTCTGGACTTGGGGACTTGCTAGCCCCAAGAATGGCATCTGTGCCACTCAACCATTTCACTTGGTCCAAATGCTCCACGTGTCCAATCCCATGGCTGACACCCAAAGGTACCACTGACATATCAGCCCGTTACGCTAAAGCCATGCCCATTCACTTTTGCCACATTGGTGGTCTAATACCACTTACATCATAGTCTCATCTCTCCAAGATTGGGCCATCCGTCCATGAATAGTCATCCCAGATCCACTCCTTAGCATCCTTAGGATGCCCACATATATGGGGAATAGCCTTCTCTAATATCCTTTTGTCAGTTCCTACCAAGTCCCTTTTCTGTCCATGGCTATGTTAGCCATGGACATTGCCACTAGATCAAAAACTATAGGCCCGGCCACTAAGTCCCATTGTCCTCTGGAACTTCCTCACCATGTGACTGTATCCTTAGTCACTATACTAGAGGACTGTTCATCCTCCTTTCCCCAATTTGGGACTTTGGGACAACATTTCGGAACACCATGGCCCTATGTGAGCCCCATAAGTACTCTCCCCACCTTCTGCCTTTAGGTGCTCTAGCTATGGGATTAGAGCGAGGTTCTGTTAAGCCACACCAGGTATCCAAGTAGGTAGTGCCACCCACACTTGGACTGGGAGCATTGCCCATTCGATCTCCCAGGGAAACTAGAGCTATCTCTTGAACACTTCACCAAGCTACCCCGCTTGACGGTTCGTATTCAATCTAGCCTTGGACCTCTCTGTGGCTATCCCGTCACTCAACACTTGGGTACAGCCTTCCTGGGCCAAACTGGCCTTTCTTGGCCAAACTGGAGTCCTCCCCCTACTATACTTTTGGAGCTCACCAAACCGGGAGATAAACGCTTTGGGCTTTCACCCTCTCAGACTCGAACTCGGACTCGGACTTAGACTCAAACTCAGACTTGGGCTCGGTCTCAGCCTCGGTCTCGGTCGCAGTCTCAGCCTTGGCCTCAGTCTCGGTCTTGGTCCCGGTCCCAATCTCGGTCTTGGTGTCGGTCTCAACTTCGGACTCCATCTCAGGTCCTTCTCGAACTCCATCTCGGATTCCATCTGGAGTCTATCTCGGACTCCATCTCGGGTCCATCTCGGACTCCATCTCGGACTTCATCTCGGGCCCATCTCAGACTTCATCTTAGACTCCATCTCGGGTCCTTCTCGGACTCCATTTCAGATTCCATCTCGGGTCCATCTTGGACTCCATCTCAAATCCTTCTTGGATTCCATCTCGGACTCCATCTCGGACTCCATCTTGGATCCATCTCGGACTCCATCTTGGACACTTCCACATGTCATGTGTTGGTCCTTTTGTATCCCTTTTCTAAAGACTCACTTATTGCTCGCTTTGTGCTTGTTTCTCGAGCCCTTCGTTAGGAGTTGCACTCCCGCTCTCAACCTTTCAGGTCGGAGCTTTTAGTCCAAATGTGTTATGCTCGTTTGGCTTTCGCTTCGGCCACTACTATGTGGCATGCTTTCGGCTCCATTTTAGGGCTAAGGGATTTGTGTCTCACAATTTATAACAAAGAAACAAAGTTTGATTATCACTACAATTATAAAATCACATATTTAATATTATTTATTGTTACATGTAAACTATTTACTATATATATGCCATTGGTAAATAGTAGTTTTCGTTTTTTAAATATCCAATAGAAATATTGTGCAATATTAAAATAGAATCTAATAAATATAAAGCTAATAAAAATTAATTAATTTATATACATATATATATATATATATATATATATATATATATATATATATATATATATATATATATATATATAGACTGCCGATCTAAAATATAAAAATGTAAAAAAATAAAAAAATAAAAAGTAAAAATTTACCTAAATGGTCTTCCATAGGATTTTCTCAATCCTGCACAATTGATTTGAGGTAAAATAATTTTGTTTTGTACCATAAAGTAATTGCTTTCGAGTTACATTTGTCGAGATCATGACATGAGTATCCTATACTTTCTCCTTGGACAAAAGTAATTTAGAATAAATTACTTTATAGCACAAGATAAAATTATCATACATTAATTTGATTATGCACAACTAAGGATTGAAAAAATTTTATGAAGGGCATTTAAATTGTTTTTTAATTCTTTAATTTTTTTGTTTTTCTACATTTTTATGTTTTAAATCAACAACCTACTTTACCAATAAACTAATTGTTACACTTGCTTCCAACCCTTCTTCAAGGAGAGAGCATAGGGGTTGGAAAGCTTGTAGAACCCAGATGTTGCCAGTGACACAACATCCTCCAGCTTCCAAAACTGACAATCCATAGCAACCTGGCATCCAGCAAGAAGCCTCTCCACCTTGGCATCCTTACCTCACACAGTCATCACCTCTCCTCCCCCTCATCGCAATGGGCAGCACAATCAAAATACCCTAACTTTTAGGGGTTTTCGAAAGTTCTGGCACAAGGGTGTGCTGCATCAAGAGCAATCCATCAGTTCCAGTCACAGGTTGGTTATTCGAGTTGTGCTTTAGTTTATTTGTAGGCGACTGATCTTCCATAGTACTGTTGGTCTTCGGTCTTTCCGAGTTCTTCAGGAACTTTCGCATTGCCAGCTACAACATCCGCCGCGCTAGAAGCCTGGAGTTCCTTGTCCAAAGGAACTAGATCTTCGTTGTCCAGAACCACACTGGGATTCTCTCGCGTCCACCGAGCACAGTCGCCAACCAGAGTTTTGAAATCTTGACAGCCAGAGCTCTCACATCGCCATCCCCAGCAACGTCCACACCAGCAGTCTTGTACCCGGAAGAACTGGAAACCCAAGGAGCATGAGCTTCTTCTCGGCACCGGAGCAGCGACGTTCCATAGATCTGCCACGCAACCAATAAATGGAGCAGCGATCTTTGGTGGAGCAGTACCATCACCTTGTGCTGTTAAAACCTCCGAGAATGATCTTCCCAGTTCTTCCACAGCTGCTGCGGATGATGGATTGTGCTTGGAAACAAATGCCGGGCATTTGTCCCGACGAGCGAGCAAGCTTGCGACCAGGCCGGCCATGCAGACTGGCCCTTGTCGCTATTGACAACCACGGTCGCGAAGTTGAAGATCCTTTCATCGGCATCAAAATCTGGAAATACTTTCCTGCCTCTGCCGCCACTGTGCCGGTAGCTCTCAGCAAAGACGCAGCTGAGAATCCCCGGCGATGCAACATTTCCCTCGTGAAATCTGGCGCTGGAAGACGATATTTCATCGATGAAGGAAGCGTTCCTGCCTTCTGCCAATTTACTCTAGGGAAGAAAGATCCACACGCTCATCCTCGAGCGCGGCCTCGAGGATCTCCACCTCTACAACCTCATGCGGTAGCGTCCACGACTACTCGTGGCATTTGCCCAAAATGGGTATCTGGAGGAGGGCAAAGGGGCATTCGATCGAATGCCACAGCGCGACGTTGTGGCGTGGAATTCGATCCTGGGCGCCTACGCTCAGAACGGGAAATCGATCGATGCGGGGCGATTCTACGAGAGAATGCTTGGGCGGGACGTGATCTCCGCGAATTCCGTTTGCCAAGAGCGGCGATCCCGCCGGCGCGTGGAGGGCCTTCGCGCTGTGGACGTCCATGGCGCAGGCGCGCGCTGCGGGCGGGCAGCTCGATCTGGCGTTGGAGACGCTCCATCGCATGGCGCGGTGGAACGTCTTCTCCAGCACAGTAACGATGCAACCACGCGTTCCAGGCCAGGCAGGTCCTCATGCCCAGAACAAAAGCATCCAGCTTTGCCTCTACAAGCGACTGTGGCTCCCAGACTGCGTCGTCCCGGATCTCGTGGAGGTAAAGGCTTTCGCGTTGAATCCTTGTTGACTGACCGTGCGTTGACTAGGTGTATGGCGGCAACAGGAAGGAGAGGATTGCAACCGAGAACCAGTGTTAAGTGTTAGAGAAATCCTTTCCAAGATGTCTTTGCCTGTGAGAGCTTTTGGAACAGGAGGTCTTGATTCTTGCGGGATCGCACGACTGGATCTTGGATCTGGAGCTCGTCAAGTGGCTGAAAGCATGAGTGATTGATTGATTGCCAGTCGAGCGTCTCTTTCCTTACAGTTCTTGGATCTCACTTGCGCTTCTTTCCAGATACTTAGGCGAGAATGCGAGCCTTTCTCACCCCAGGGCATGAAACCAAAAGTGTGATATCAATTCAAAGTACGTCAATTGCTAATTTTGTTTAGCGAATGGAGGAGAATGCCGAGCTGCGCCTCGAAGCTTTCGATTACTTGCAGCTCCCCTCCGCGATCAAGCAAGGTAGCATTTGATTCTTCGTCGTGGACGATCACTCTGAAAATTTTGCCCAGGCTATGTTGGGAGCCTATTCTTATTGCTTTGGAAGATGCTTCTCCTCGTGATGAATCGGAGGTTGTGTGTGGTAGAACTATTTCTTTTTTGGAAGTCTAAAGGGTGGCTTTGCTTCCAGTGGAGTGCTCCTCCTGGCTCACGGAGAGCCTTGACAAGGATTCCTCGGAGAAGACACTCAGCGCCTGGACCCGCTCCAAGACATCCAGGAAGCTCCTCCTGAGCTCGTCGGACTCTGCGGTGGCCCGCACGGTGTCCTCGCTGCCTGCGAGCCATGCTGTGAAGATGACAAGCGCCGGGAGCATGGTTGTATCGCTGATCGCCGCCAGCGTGCGAACGACTTTGAATGCGCACGCCAGAGTCTCATGCAGCCAGCTCCTTGGCGGAGAAGTCTTGCAGACGAGGCCGAGATGGAAGTCTTCGATGGAGCACGCTAGTATCGTCACGAATCTGTATTCCCAGGAAAATTTTTCCCCTGGTTGGCTCTGCTGGATCGCCGTCTTTAGCGGGAGTTCCCATCCATCGCTCGAGTTCGTTCAGTGTGCCATCCAGCACCTTCTGCAAATCGTCGAAACTGCAAGCGTATCAAAACCATTTGCATGTCTCAAGCTAATGCACTCACCCAGTTTTCAGGAGTAAGATCTCGAAGAGCCTCAAGAGATTGTCAAAGTTGGACGATCCTTGGCTGGCTTCAGCGATGGCGTCCAACTGAAAAATCCCCATCAACTTCTCTCATCGTGCTCAATAAATGGATACCTTACTCTCCAGAAGAAGTAGAAGGTTGCTGTGGCTTGTTGGAGACGGTATCTTCACAAACAAGCTCTTCAGATAGTGATACAGCACGAACTCTATCTCCCACATGGGTCGCCAGCTAGAGATCAAACACTTAGAACCGAAAGAACGAACAGAAAAACAATCGAGATCCTCGCACCTGTCCATGCGCTCCACCTTCGCAGTGACAAAGCCTCGAGGCTTGCACGTAGTAGTCCTCCGCGGTGGAATAGTTCCTCTTGCCAAGGCTCACTCCATACACCTCCCTGTAGCGAGCCAAGTCCGAGGCGCAGTAGCAGCCGGTGACAAGTCTCGCGGAACTCTCTCGCCTCGCTCTCGTCCAAGCTCTTGTCACAGCTATCCGAGACGATCCCACCGAGGCCATGCCTCACTCTCACCCTGAAAACAAGCTCCGAGTAGAAGTTGGAGCTGCTGGCTATGAAGTCGATCAAAGGCGCCACCACATTCTTGAGCGTCTTCTTGCCGACGCGGTCGCTCTTTTGCGTGATCTTGGCGTGGTGGGCTTTCCAGAGCGCCTTCTTGATCTCGGGGCTGAGAGAAGGAGGCCGTAGCCATCGTCCCGGAGCGCGTGGACCTCTTTGAGATCCGCGTCTTTGCTCTCGAGCTTGGCTTTGAGATCCCTCTCGGCCTGGCTGAGCAAAGTGAGCAAAGAAGATTTGCGGCAGTGATAGATAGATACCTGGGAGGAGTCGATGCGGCGGTGCTTGGAATGTCGGCTTCGCTGCTCCTCCGGGGTGGTTTCTTGCGTACGCAGTCTTTACAGAAATCTCTCACTCACTCAAGAAATAGAAAGAGCAAAACACACACCTGTCACCTTTTTGCCAGTCCATCACGACTTATTCCTCTTGCAGCACCGCGGCTATCTTGTCAAGTTCTTCCTCTCTTGCGCTTCTCCATTTAGGGTTTATCAGTCTTTAGTCTAGCGCCATTGTGTAAGTTGCCACCATCGCCACGAGACGATTCCTCTTCGAGTTCCAACCCGACACAAGGATATAATCCCAACAACCCTAAGGGCCGACAGAAGCGCTATGTCGCAGGAAAGGGTGCTTGTTCCTTTGATGGCTGGCAGCCGCGCACAGCTCAATGGTGAGCTCACGGAGGATTTCACTAGTGTTTCCAGGGCCGCGCTGCTTGGCCTTCTCAATACCGCGCTGAGCAATGGTGGCAGCGACGCGCAAAACATAGAGGTGACCATTTTCTCTCTTGCAAGCTGTACTAATCTTCCTTTCCCTTGCTCTCCAGCCTCTTGTGTGTCTCCTGGTCTCGACTGACGCGGAGATTGTGTTACTCGCTTTGGAAGTCATTGCCTCGATCGTGCGCTCGCATAAGCTCGCTCATGACAAGCAGACGAGCAAGATCCTGCGGGAGTTTTCTCGGGGCTGGGCGGGGAGTAACGGGCCTCTGGATTTGGAGTCCTGCATCTTTTGCGGTGACGCGGAACAAGCTCGTCTCGCATCCAGTCTCCACTTCGAGTTTTATCACGGTGGGAAGCTGGAAGTCATTCAGCTGGGCATGGAAGCTCTGCGCATGGACGACTGTTTGGCTCTCTTCAACAGGCTGGTGTGCGAGTTCAACGTCCCCATGGAGCTCCGGTTTGCGTTGCTGACGAGAATCCGATTCGCAAAGGCATTCTCGTCCACGGCAGCGAGGCAAACGTACGTGAGGATCTTGATCTTGTCTTTGGAGCTGATCCAGTGGCGGAAGCTCATGTTTAAGCAGCTGGCGGATGTCGTGGTGAGCGGCAACGACGTTCCCGAGAGCATCCGGGTGGCGGCGCTCTATGCCTTGACGGCTTACGGGAAAAGAGACATTTTTACGCGGGCGAACAGGGAGAGGAAGGTGAAAGAGTTTCTCAGCGGGAACAGCCAGCATTCCAGTGGCTTCATCCAGGCCTTGCTTTTCAACTCTTCTGTGGCCCCTGGCAAAGAGCTTCCTGGCTTCGTTTTGGGAGTCGCAAGCATCGACAACGTTTTGGCATGGCTGGAGGACGAGCTCGAGGGCCCTCGAGACGGACGTATGATCAAGAGCCTACTGCTCTCCGAGGCTCTGCGTGATCCGGGGGCTGTCCATGGCATCCAGAAGGCCCGGGTGGAGCGATGCTTGGTCAAAGTTTTCGGAAACTCCAAGCTGTTTGGAAGTGAAGTGTTTGATACAGCGGCTGGTGTGCTGCTATCTTGGGGTTGGAGTGATCAAGTAAAGGCTGCGTTTATGGAGGCTATGGTTTCGGAAGCTATTCCGTCTGGGTGGCAGATCACAGAAGCAGCCGTCACGTACTTCTTATCAAGGATGACGCCTGGGATTCAAACGAAGACGGTGGAGTTGATTCGAAGGGACGTCGCGAGCGTCTCTGACGTCGTGCTGCTGGAAGCACTAAGCCAGGACAGTTTTACGTCGTCGCTAATCGAGGCTGGCGGCTATGAGTTTCTCCAGCAGCTCCCGGGATATGTGCTGGAAAGGCCACGAAGGAGTGCTGCGCTCAATCTCAGCGACAGCTCCTACGTAGAGATTGCCAGGAGTCTCTCCTCGGATTTTGGAAAGTGTGCTTGGCACTCGGAGCGGCTAGCCAGACTTGTCGAGTGGCTGTTGTTCGACAACAACGGTGCCTGCAACCTTTCCTTCCTGAAGCAGCTCTACGCGCACGGGGCACTCGATAAGCTTCTGGCCAGCCTTGAAGGGCTGGGAGGGTGGTCTTCACAGGCGGCATTACCACCACTGGACGCATACTTCTCCACTTTGAAGCAGCTCCTGGAGAATCACTCGGCCCTCGTAGGGGTGGTCGTCGACGAAAGCAGACTGGTTCACCGGATTCTCCACGCCGTTGTTGCGGTGTTTCGACTTTCTCACGGGCTGGCTACTCCAGAGGGCGCCGAAACTCTCCTCCTCACTGTCTGGAAGCGATGTGACTGCCAGGAAAGGCAGCAGGTCCTGGTTTCGCTACTCGAAGAGCTGGGACGCGGAGGTGCCGCAGCTGCTAGCGTGGTAGCTCTACTCGTTACCAAAGATGGTGGTGCTGCAGCATTTGCTCGAGCCCGAGGTGGGGTGGCGAGGACGGTGTTAGAGCTGCTCGAGTCTTCAGCGTCGCCTTCAGAAGATCTGCTGCGGATCCTAAACCGTATGTTTGAAGCTCGGGGTGACGACGACAGTGGCAATCCTTTTACTCCGACAGACTTGCCTGAGCAAAGCGACGAGCTCATGGTAAGGGCAGTAGTTTGGTATGGCAACTCCCTCCAACGCAGGACTAGTCTCTGCATCTCGGAGCTTGCCAAGCTTGGTGAAACACTAACGAGGAATCACAGTGTTGCGCAGGAGCTGCTAAAGGCGGGTGATTTGGCTGGCCTTGTCGGCGCGATTCTGGAACTAGTCTCCGCGGATCCATGCTCCAAGAGCTACGCATTCAGGACCGTGGTTCATTTGCTGGAAGATAGACAGGTGCTGTATCATAGCATGGTGCGCAAGATCTGGACGTATATGAAGATGACCTTTGACACGAAGTTTGACAGGAGCTGCAAGAGGAAGTGTGACACCGGTCTCTTCGTGACGAGCTTCTCGTCCTTGGCCTTGAGAGAGCCGGATGTTTTCATGCAAGCGTCCTTTGATACCTGTGAAGTTGACGACGAGAACTACATGCATTTGAAGGACGCCGACGTTTACCCGGATAGTAACGCCAGTGCTGCTGCTTCGGACGTCTTCACCCGGCTGCTGGATCTTCTTTTGGACAGGCTAGACGACGTCGCGTTGGAGCTCTTGACAGAGATAGTTGACGAGATCCCAGGCACACCGCAAGCCGTGGACGCCGGGATTGTTGAGCGTGTTTTGCAAAGCAGCGTGGATGCAGCCTTGGTTCGCAAGTTCGTCGGCGCCTTGATACGGCGCGAGAAAGACAGTTCCATAACTCCAGCCTTGATGAGCGCGTTCTCGTCCAAGCCGGACACTGTGAAACTGGTCTACCTCTCCAGAAATGTGCAGTGCTGCCTCCAGTATATCACCATCCCAGTGGCCGACTGCATGCTCAAAGCTCTCGGCGGACTCGATTTGGACCATCCAGAGGCAGGAGCCGTGGCAGCTTCGATCTTTGGG